CTGTGCAATTTCGCACATTAATTGACATTAGACCACTCGCGCTGTAATAATGTCACGATACTCATCCATCTCCTGAAAATATTTACATGTATATATAAATATAATGTACAAAATTATGTGTACAATAATTTTGAATGCATTCTTTTTGTAACAATTGTGGATAATATGAGGATGATAAATACATATAATGATAATATATGTTTAAAGAATAAAAGCGCACAATTAGCATATAATCTCTAATAACATTGCATACGTATCATGATTTATCTTTGTCAGACAATTCTTTGCGAAAATTTATTCTTCTCACTACTTGACTGAAAAAACTGCGAAATCGCCGACAAAATTCCTCTTATCGTTTTTTCCCCAAAATAAAAAATTCTATTATGTTTGCCATATATGCGTCACCGCCCGAGTAACTGGAGCATATTTTATAGACAGCAAAAACCGATATTCACCAATGTTACCACGATGGAACCGCGCGAGACTCGCAAGTGGCATTCGCTCGCGGTGCATTCTTCGCGCGCCCGGTTTCTTGCGGCGAGCCTTAAAATGCACACGAACCGGGAAAGAGACGGTGCATCCATCAACCTCAATCGTCGACGTCTGTTTTCACAGAATTTCTGCTGTACTTTCGAGGTCTTCGAATGTATGTACGTACATACATTCCGGATATTTCCTCGTACTTCGAGACCTCGCTTTACGACTTTTCCGTTGAGCCGCGCTTTTCCCATCGCTTTTCCTTGTCGGCTCACGAGAGAAGAGAAAACGTAATTCCCGAGCGGCCCGCCAAGTCGTTCAACGACTTCTTCCAACGACAGTTTCTTCTTCCTCGATAATCTTTCATGATATAGCCCGCCAAGTAGTTTACAGATCTTCTCTAGTCGACTATATGTAATTCGTTTAAGTTTCAGACAATGCTGAAATAATGCTCTCTCTGTGCACCAGATATAAATATAATATGCTTCTAAAATATATTTCTCAAATATATATGTTGTTGATATATATATCATGAAATTTTTTATTATATTATTTTCTAAACAATTTTTTTAAAAATTTCATAGCGTTAACCATGCGTGTCCTTCTTTGATATGTATGTTATCTTAAGAGAACGTTTTGTATAATTTAATAATATATACTATATGATTTTACTTACTTCATTTATACGACTCGTGTTGATTTGTAAAACATTCTTATTTCGCTGTCATAAACTTCGTAATCTTTTGGTAAACATCGTGAAAGAACATCACCCTTTCTCTCGAATGCCATACTTTGTCGTGGAACATTCGATGTATTCGATGTATGTTTTGCTAACATCTTCTTAGATGACGCTCTATTGTACTCGAAGCTGCACATCTCTGAGTTCTCCATTTTGCTTTTCACTTCTTGCTCATTTTTCCAACCACCTTTACTCTGCTCGTCGTCCTAGTTGTTTGAACAACGAGAGGTGGATATTATTCCCGCGAGATCTTTCTAGTCGTCTTACGACTTTTTCCGAGAGTAGTCTTTTTTTCAGGATGTACTGGATGTACATGGTACTAGACAAAATACTTTTTGCTAAATCTTTCCTGCTGATATTTAATCTCAAAAAATGATTCGCCGACAATTTAAATGCTAAATTAAAATCTTTTTTTACATTTCCTTTATACTTCCTTTGTCAGAGAAATTTTAAAGCTTATAAATATTAAATTTTATATATATATATATATATAAAATTTAATATTTATAAGCTTTATATATATATATATATACACGTATACAGCGGATACATCTATTTATTTTGTTAAATTATTATATTATAACATTCAGTAATATTCTTTATCAACATAATTTAGTAGTATATTAATAATTAATTTGTTATTGTGCTATAATTCTCTCTACAGCGATTGTTTATATATTAAATAAAGCAAATTGTGCTTTTAAAGTAAATTAATGTTGTTATATATAAATATCAAATTTGAAACAGACTAAAAATGCACCCATAATAATAATGTAACTAGTAAATATTACATTTATTTTTGTCCTTTTTTGTTACTTTTTGCCGAGTTTTTAATTTTTTAACTTAATGCTTCTTCCAGTCAAACGTGCCAAGCATGATTTGCCAAAAATAATGCAAATATTATTTCAAAACAGCGCTAGCCATTATGAGAATATTTCAACAGGAATTATTTTCTCTTTCACGAAATACATTATTTCAAATTTCAGGTAATGTACAGGAAGCGGAAGTTACTTCTTACAGCAAAATTTTATTAATTATGAATAGCATTATGAAAATTTTATATTAAAGATGGTTCTTTTGTGTTCATTCAGTTGCTGCGATCAAAATACACAATAATAGTGATGCATATATTAATGTTATATAATGAAAAATTACAATTAAATTAAAAGTTTTCGCGGTTTTAACAGTTTCGAGCGAATATGACTTCTCTCGCTCGAATAATGAAGTCGCGTCAATATGCTTCACAACGAAAACCATCTCATAGAGAACGTTTTCCACTGTTGGCAGCGAATTGTGTAGACATCTCTTTCCAGCGGCAGGCATTTCTCACGAAGCGCTACAGCCAAAGCGCATCGAAGGTTTCCAATTCGCGTGGTTGCCAACGCATAAGATGTAAATAATGTTTCGCCTCCGGTGCATTCTACATGCATCGAAAATCCGGGAGAAACGAGCGTCGCGCGCATCCGTCGACTCGGATCGTCAACGTCGGAACCGGTAGTCTGGCACCGATACATGCATTTCCGGAATTTTCAACAGCATACCGGTTCGCAAGAATTTTCACGACATATGTCTTTCGCGACGACGTTTCTTTCTCTTTCTCTTCTACTGTCTTTTTCTCTTAAAATGCACGGGACCACCCACTTTACCTTCCACTCGACCATTTTTCCCCTTTATTCGCTCCCGTTCCATCCAAGAGTTCCGGTTGTTTGAACAACGGCACGAATATTATTCCGCCGATTACGTGCGATTTTTCTGGCTGGGAAGTGCTCTTCGCGATTTTCGTCGCGCAGTTTGCCTATCGGTACTTTTTTTGGAGAATATATATATATAACAGTCCAAGACAAATGGCGTCTCCAAATTCTTTAGTGCAAGATACTCGCGGATCAAGATTTTTATTTGAACGTTCTTTGATCTTTCTCTTCGACAAATTGGAAGATTTAATAATACGTAGCGTTATATTTTGTAGAAGTGTGCATATATAATGAAGATCGATAATAATTTATAAAAATGCAATTATTTAAATAATTCTCATGCTCTTACGGGAGTTAATAATCATATATAACTATTATTATATGTATAATTATAAGAAAAAATTTTGCATGAATTTTTGTTAATATAATTTAATTTGTTTTATCGCAGAAATAGAAAACTTATCGTTTAAAAGATAATCTTCGTTGGAAACAAGGGTACCGAAAAGTTCCTTCGCTTCGAAAAGATATATGCAAGTGAAAATACTTTTACAGCATCTCGAAATGGCAAGAGGGATACGAATAATTCAACTGCTTGCTAAACCCCAGCTTTTGCCAAGTAACATAGAAATGGAAGGGGTTAATTTGCGAGTTTCATAGGATCTTCTCTTGAGGGCTCGCCAAGCTTATTACAGTAAATAGCTTAGACGAGGGTGCCCCTCGTTCGGCCTCCCCTGTTCAGTTGGGCCTTTCATCTCGCAAAACTCATTTCTATTTCTCTCTCTCTCTCTCTCTCTCTCTCTCTCTTTCTCTCTCTGTTCCAGCCTAAAAGATACAGGGCGTAGAATCGTTATCACTTTATCAAAGTTAGACGCGATGCTCGCTCCGACAGAAGAAAGTGCTTTCAACCGACCGTTTATTAACGTTTTAACAGCCGCGCGCAACGTATATTGCATTAAAGTACGAGACACCGAGCCGATTAAACTGTTGCTGTGCCGAGTGAAAAAGATCGTTCTGCCGTGAACAACGCGAACGAGAACCACCCGCCTCTACGACATATTTAAAGTGCTCCGCGGTAATAGGATGGCGAACGACGCGACGAAAAGTGGATTGGAAATAAACCCTCTTAATCCCTGCTTTCTTCGAATAAATTTGTTGGAAATTACTACATTCACTTGGTATCTCCTAATTTAATATCTCATTTACCATATAGCTGTTTTTACACAAACATAAAACCAGAAAAGCAAAAATCAGATATTAATTGAATACGAGATGTGTTTGGGTTAATAAATCTTAAATATTCCGCTATTCTTTTATAAGTACGATTACATCGACAGCAAAAGATTGAGTTAATAAAAGTTCACATTATAATTATTGGAGCGCGAATTTTTAGAAATGAATTTTGAGACCAGCATATCCGAAAAAATATAATAAGTCGATGCGACTTATCGATTTACCGGAGTCAGCTAAAATTCACTTTGAAACGCGTTCTCTCAATCGGCAACTCGCGATGCCATCAAACTATCTTCATCCAGAGGGATCGTGATTTGAATAGTAATCAGCAGACGCGGTATGTAAGCCGCTAACATCTTCCATGCAAATAGACATGACTTCGCTCGTCCACGCATGTATGCGTTCCCGCGATTGTGTGTTAGACACACTGCCACGATCTGCGAACGGGAGATGTATCCACCCGAACGCGAGATTGCATTTGCCGCAGTGCGGGACGGGATATGTACGAGTTATTCAACGGTATATTTTTGAAGCTTTGTTACATGTACGAGACTCGCACAGACAACTGACTGCATCCTGTTCTTTTCTATTTAAAATTTCTAGTATAAATATATATGCGTGACATAAATATACCAGGCGTATGCATTCTTTTCTGCCAGAGTCTAATTTCCTTTTTTTAACCTAGATAGATGTCTCGTGAAATGATAGATAAGATAAATCAAGATTTAAAAAAATATTATATAATGCAACAGTTTTAATAGTTCTATTTATTCGAAATATGTAATTTTTGTATCCATCTTTGCATAAGAATTTTTTTAGAATGTCGGCATCAGCTGTAAAAAAAATGAAAATCATCTTTTCAGAAGGCATCGCGTACGAATCGCGCGTTTCCATGGTGGATACTTTCCAAGAACGCATAATGCCGGAAATTGATCCATACTTCGATACCACAATGATCTCCAACATCACTGGCTTGGCCGGAGATACTGTTCAACTAGGATGTAGAGTAAAGAATCTCGGAAATAGAACGGTGAGTCTAAAATAACTTTGCATTTTTATAAATATCATATTTTGTATAATTTATTATGAAGAGTGCGAAAAGCGAGAAGCGGAGAGTGCGAAAGAAATACACAAAATCAAACAATGTAATTATAATTACACGAAATTGATGCGATAAATCACATATTATGTCACAGCGTATTGAAATTACCACTCCGCTTATTCCAGAATTACGTAAGCAATTACGTTGCTTCCAAGAAGGCAAATCTTAAGCCTTACAAGTAGTAACTCAGATTTCGACACGGAATATCAGCAGGTGAACAGAACCTCTGACACGCCGCGAACAACGCGAGATAGGTTTGCTCGAATTAATGCAAGGGATTCGGAAACGTAGAGACGGGCAGCATCGACAACATTATCGAGATGCCGAGCTATATCTTCTGTTTGCAGAATTAACCGGTAAATTACAAGATGAAGATGCAACGAATATTGCGAATAATGATGTTTACACTGCAATTTGATGCGGAAAAGAGAACTAAGAAATAGCGAAATCTCCGACGAAGAATGAAACATCCGCGCTACTATTCCAGTTATGTAATTATCACTGCGATCCTGTAATATTGCAAACGTTAGGATCTCAAGTTTGCCTTGGACTTTCGTCGTTGATTAAGTTAAGCCAGCTTCGTCGCCCGTGCCGTAAGACAAATTTTTTCTCCTTCGCGGTTAAATCAGTGTGCTTCTAGTAGGTCGGTAAATTAACTTGAGGACGGACACGATCCTTGGAGAATTTATCTTCCACTCTAGAACCTTCGGGCGTCCTCGACCTCGAATATCAACGGTTCGTGGCACTACTCGAGGATTATCGTAGCGGTTAAGTAGAAAAGAACGATCTTTGTCAGACTACGTCTTCAAAGACTCGGTTGGGAGGTTACAGTTTTAATCCCGGAGCTCATTTCTATGCAAAGCTCGGTCTTTGCATTTATGCTAGCCGCAACTATGTGTGTACCGTTTAATATGTTCGTCATCGTCGCTTTTCTCGATATCGTGCTCTTTTTTGTAAAAATCGCGAGCGCGAAGGATGATACATTAGAAAAACATAACGCGAGTTATGTTAGTTTCAATCGCACGTTTTATTAAAGTGGATGACATTAACGATATCATACTAATATCATGCCTTTACTGTTCAAATGTATATAGGCGTATCCATATACGCCCGCGCACACATAAACGCGCATAAATTAGTGTCGCGAGGGAATATCGATGAAATTGCGGTTGCTCGGTTGAACGAAATTACATCGAAGTTCTTTAGCTCGTGTGAAAACGCTTGGGAAAGGATTTGAAGAAGTTGAAAACGATGAAGCTACGTGAAAAAGTAACATCGCGCCAGCGGGTTGCCACGAAGAGAGAAATGGCAAGAATAAGCGCCACTTTAGAGATGATATTAACTCTGAAAGTCGGTCCCGCGCGTATGCAAAAAGATTCGAGAAAGAAGAAGCAGCAATCGTCGTTACGGCAGCCATGCGTCCATGGATTTTATCCGGTCGCATATTTTCACCGAAGCCGTGTTCTTCTCCTTCTCGTGCACATGCGCGCGCAAACGCGTATTGTTATATTTTATTACGCGAAAAAGTTTCCACGGAACACCGGCAAGCGAATAGACGATTACTTCTTTTTACAAAAAACATATTAACTGCGACATCGGAACATTTGAACGATAATCGTATTAAACCGGGAGCTCTTGCAGTTTATATTTCCGATTATATTCAAGCGTAAATGCACATCGTGAGTTTCGACCTAGATTTAATCAACACTGCAATGATTTATCGCGCGACATATTATAATGCAGCGCGGAAAATATCATTATGCGCCGTTTCAATAAGTATTAATTAAATTAATAAAACTTCGATTCTTTATATGTTCCTATATATTTAGAAAAGGGTAGAGATTCACTTACATCACGTAGCCAACATTTAATTAATGGGCATGACTCCCTGAAACATTTTGAATGCAGATATATGGACAAAGGTAGATTACTGAATCACAAATTAGTATACAATAATATAAATTTACAGAGATAAGGGGTTAATTAACTAGAACTGAAATTATCTGCTTCCGTGGTTAGTTTTGCATAAATAAATGCTGGATATCTCTCGCTATGCGAAAATCAACCGACGATATTGTTTCCGGTTTAACCATTGGGAGATATTATAGCAGGTATGCGATTTAATGAATATTACTATAGTATTCTCATTAAAATTGCAGATATTATCCGTATGCCCGAATTACGTGCAGTTTGAAGACTCGTGTAATGTGTTAAATGGTGGAAGAAAAATCATTCAAGTTATTAAAGTGCCGGGTTCGTCGTTACGGCGCAATTTCCGACACGTGAGGGAATTGCACTGATTATGGATGTTATGGCAGCTTCGAGTCATCGGTCGGATTCTGCTCTAATTAAAGGTTTCGAGAACTTTCCAGCGTGATTCAAACTTGGCAAATGTCACTTCGCACCCTCCTTTACTCGTACAAAGTTCGTTTTACAGTTATCGGATTGGTTAACGATATAATCTCGTAGAATCAACAGGATCAAATATTTTGATATAATTGATAACTGTGTAATTTAATATAATTTGATGATTTTTCAATTATGTAATTAATATATTTTACATTATAATTAAACTTAAAACGTGTTTTATAACTTTTGACAGTTAAATAGACAAATTTGTCCTATTTAATAAATAATTGCAAAGTACGGGAGTCGTCGTTACGTGCCGAGATTGTAGTCATACATCACGAGGTTATATAGCATTAAACAAAGACATGAAGTATTCCAGCTGCGGCGAATCTACTGCACTCGTAAATTTCTCGGGGCTAGAAAAGGGAGAGTATAAAGTTTTATCGTCCAATCTTACGAGCAACAGGGCGCGAGGAGCGATGATAGCAAAACGCGTGGATAGTACGCGATAACTCAAGATTTCTGCATTTAGATTGTAGAAATCCTGACATATATTTGCTAATCTAATATGAAATATGTAATATGTAAATACTATAATATTTGAGGCACATTCATAACCATCACAGTTGTTTCTCCACTCGTCTTGACATTCTAAAAGAATCTAGAAACATATTCTGAAAATAAAGTAAGATATCTAAAGGTATTGGTTAAAAATCGATGGTTCATTGCTTGTTTTAGGTCTCGTGGGTGAGGCATCGTGATATTCATCTGCTGACAGTTGGTACTTACACTTATACGAGCGATCAGCGTTTCGAGGCGATGCATAATAAACTTCATACAGATGAATGGATCCTCAAAATACGATATCCACAGCGAAAGGACTCCGGTACCTACGAGTGCCAAATATCCACCACTCCGCCCATCGGTCATCCTGTTCATCTCATTATAGTCGGTAAGTTATGACTGCTTTATAAAAAATGTCAGAGCGATAATTTCAACGATAATAGAGATGTATGAGAATTCGCATCGTAATTCAGCGGTTATCCGTTTCGATTAATACAGCGACTCATTTATCAGGATAAATTTTAAATAACGTTTTATTGTGTAAAATTGTTGGTTGCGCTGAAGCAATATTCTTTGCAAAAATACCGATTAAATATTAACCATATCATTCAACATTTGTGCAAATAAAAAACGCTGATGGATAAAAAAGGATATTATTGACTTGCCTAGAATATTTTCTGCATTTACAAAGAAAATTCGATTTAATTTGTTTTAAATAATTTATGCGAATAATATAACATTCTTACATCATCTCCGAATGATAAAGATATCTTTAAAATGATTTAATTATATGATTATAAACGTTTTTAGAGAAATCTGAAAAAGCATCGAACAAATTAAATTATTTAGCAAAAATCTAATGCCTACATTATTGATAAAGATTTTATCAAATTTTCGAATAGCTATTTTATTTAATCTCACGATTTAGAAATTCGCGTTTAGTAACACGCGCATTTTTAGATTTATCACTATTAATCAAATTTGTGACGATCGTTGTTAGCTTTTATCGAGACCCAATCATGTCTGAATAATTCAAGCAGTGAAAAAGTGGTCGGAAAAAAAATGCAGAATCTCGTAACTTTTGATGCAAACTTTGCTAGCCGTTTTAAGTGCTGAAAAGAATAAAAGGCACGTGGCAAAAGTTACAAGTTAGTAGGCCTCGTGGGAACTACCAGACGAAAGAATTATAAATCAATGCGGGGAAGTTACTCCAAGAAAAATTACTAACGACACGTGTAGCACTCAAACATGAACATTGTATGAGATCGAGCAATCGCATTAATGCGTGCGTAACATACGAGAAGAAAAGTAAAAGTTTTACGATTCGTAAAGAGATGAACGTATATTTTGGAATATATAGATCTTGAGAAAAAGTAGATAAAATTTATTTTATTCATATGTCCATTACATATTAATTTTCCATCTAAAGCTTTCTTGAGATGAATGAAACACTTATTCTTCCAAAGATCTATCTTATTAAAATATTATATATATATATATATATATATATATATATATATAATTATTATATGAAATTATTTTTAAAATTATTTAATATAATAATTTTAGAAAATTTTAGAATATCATAGAGAATTTATATTTCGCATTAAAATACTATTTTAAATTAAAGAATAAAAAATATATTATGTAATAATATATATAAATATATTACGTATTAAAGAATAAAAAAATGTTATTTAAAGAATGATTCAATTTAACAAAGAAATAATCAATATTTTTTTGTATTACAAGTGTACAAATCAAATAATGAATGTTTTTTGTAGGATATAATTTCTTTTCTTTTTGATATGAACCAGATCTGTCGAAATTCTTGATCAAAATATTCTTTCGTTGATTCGTCAAACCTCAAGTTAGAGAAAATTCTATCGTGATTAGTCTTCGAGAGAAAACGTTGTCAAAGACCAACAGGCATTTCGCGAACACGAGTCACGAAAGTATCCAATTATCGTCAGGCTAATGAAGTCTTTTCCTCGGGAAAAGAGGGTGGGCTTAAGAAAGAAGAATCGATGGCTACTTTGCCAATGTACTTCCTTCTTGTGTCTATCTACCATCCATCACAATGCTTCTAGCTTCTTCTCTTGTCTTCCCCTCTGTCAGCCAGCTTGTCATTTTTTTGTTTCCTCAAATTCTCTGTATTTTCAACTTTCTTAGAGAGAAATTTTTAATATTTCTTGATTTTTTCAGCAACATTTCATGATTTAATTAAAATAATGGTGTTAATTATACACTTTATAGAACATCAAACTTAAAAGGCGAATTGAACAAGAATATGTATAATTTTTATTTTTTTTTTAGATAGCCACATTTTAAAATCCGAAAAGATTGACAACTTTCTAACACTTCTGACATTTTTCCAGTGAAAAAGAGATTTTTTTAAGTTTCCAGTTCTTTATATTTTCTTTCATATCTCCACTAGTCTTGAGAAAAAGACATCTAAAAATAATTACAGGATAGCCAAGAGTAAATGGTTGTCTAATTAGTTTGTATATGTATAGATGTTTGAATAAAGATACATATGCAAGATAACAGCAATAATATAATTCAAAAAGAGGGATAGATTGCGTTCAAGCAATTGATCGAGGGTGACGTGATAGAACTCTCACTCTATCTCCGTCCATTTAATAAAGACGCCAAGCGAACCAGACGACGCGAAGCGGATCGAAAAACAATAGTCGACTTTTCAACGGCATTCTTGGCACGCGATGTCCGTGAAATTGTGGGGACAAATTGAGCCTTTCCGGAAGCGAACGATTCTTCTTCAACATTGCGCTCGTTCGCCGTTTCATCGCAATTCACACCGACTGCCTGAAAAGGGACCGATCTCGCTTCCTTCTCGCAAGCCTTTTTTAACTGCTTCGTCTTTCTTTCCCTCTTCGTCTTCGGATCGCGTCGATGCTTCTCTGTCGCGATTGATGTTGTCGAGAACTATATCGTTTGACTTGAAAGCTCGATTTTTAAACGGTTCGACGTTTTCTGTGAGAGGCAACGGCTAAAGACCGTGTCGAAAACTGCGAATGCTTGTCGGAAAATTCAAGAAAATACCAGTTCGTGCTTACATCAATATTACGTGGTCTAGATTATTTTCGCAAAACAATAAAATCACGCGCATATTATTTTTTAATAGAATTAAAACAATTTCAGAAACAAATAATATTTTTATACACTATAAAATATATAATTATATAATAAAATATATAATAAATATATAATTATAAAATGTTTATAAAATATATAATTATTTTTTAAATTATTTCTAAAGTAATACTGTCTTTTTGATTAGTAATATCAATTTTTCTCAACGTCATTCCTAGAAATTAATTTTTAACTTAAATGTTCCTAATTGCACGAGAAGAAGCATTTATTCATTTTAATAATCTTCTTTAATCACTTGCGAGCGCGAGCGCTTCCATCATTTCTGTTATCGGTCGCATGACGATCCATATGCTGAATAGGCTCTCCGTTATCTATATCAAGGCAGGAAACGGTTCGTTATAGATGCGAACATTGTGCCGTTTATCGTTAACAGCTAGAAAGTCGTCTTTGTTGCCGGTCACCTTTTTCGCGGTGGTATTACCTTCCTTTTATCTCGAGGTCGCTCACCGTTCCTCTTTATCTTCCTCTCTATCTTTCGCTTCATTTCATTCCCATCTAGGAGGGCAATAAAGGACATGAAAGTTTTATCTTTTCATTTGCGCCTTCCTTTCTCTCTTTCTTCCTCTCTCTGTCTCTCTCTTTCTCTTCCATCGAATTTTTTTTATTAGATCGCAAGATCGTTTAATGACCAAACACAGATACTCGGTACGGAAGTACTACCGGTAGTGTTTACTCTAAAATAATTCGTTCGATTCGCAAATGAGTGATTTACATCCAGGTCTGGTTCTATGAAATCGTCGTCAAGTATCGGCTTAAACGGAGAGATACGTTCATTTTGCGAAAATAGAGAACGAGTGTGGCAGTATTCGCAATTTGCTTGTGTTATATCGATTGAACTGTCAACTTACAACAATCACGCCGGCGAAATGCATAATGAATGAATTATTTATATCGAAAGTCAATGCGAGACGATTGTCTATCATTGACACATTTCAGCTATTAATATGATTATTTTTTTTTTGAGCTTTTCTTTTGGCTGTTCTCAATCGGTTTTTAATCAATTGGAGGATCTATGATAATTCGAAATTGATTAAAATCAATGATTTGTAATGAATCGTCATTATATAATTGATCGATTATTTATTTTTTCATAGGATAAAATATGTAATCTTCTTTGTAAGTCTTTTTAATTTAATTTATTCTGCTTGCAGTACTTCTCCGCAGTCATTTTCGCGAAAGTCACTCACCGTAGTATTGTAGAGACTTCCACTTAATTCTTTCTCTTTTCGCCGAGCTTGAGAATTTAATTAGAGATACTATTTTTCACCATAAGCTTCCAACCCACTATATTGTGCATCTCCCTTAGTGCTCATTAGAAACGCTCCAGAAGTGAAAATAATTCGAATGAATAGACGAAGATACTAGCAAGAATGGAAACAAAAATACCATCTATTTTGCTTACAGTCGCATACAAAATTCACAAATCATTTCGAAAATTTTATCCAATAATTGCATTAGTCCTTTTCGGCGTTATATAACTCAGGGACAATGATACATCGAGTATAGTTTTAGATTTTACTGTTATCCAAGTTCGGACGTTCATCTTCTTCTCTCGGTACTAGCGAGGCAATATAGCACTTTCGCCGTGAATCAATTTCGCGGCCGTCACGTACTCGGTCAAGTCGTTTCTCATTGATGTTAGCGGAAGTGAGAGAAAAAGGAGTCTCGAAATGTGGAGGAAAGTCTCAGCGAGACGAGTGGGCAGTAGTTTTCGTTTGTCGCAAACGTGCGTCGAAAGTTAAACTATGCACATGCAGCATAACGAATTTACGTTACCTCTAGTGTGTAGAAGTTCCTTAACCATTACTGAGTGGTCTGGCTAGCCGGGACATTAGACAGCTAATTAGCGTTTGCTAATTAGTTTTCGCGCAAACTAATGTCTTTTCGGCAGAAACCGCGCGTTATCATATCGCGTACATGCTCAGTTACATGTCGTAAGATCAGATATCGTAAAAATGTTATATAATAACTAACCGATAAAAATGTTATATAATAACTATTAACAATATTTTATGACAAAAACATTAATGTATTTTATGACAAAAACGTTTACGTATAAAAAATAATAAATATATATACATCGACCAACAAACAAATTAATTAATGAATAGCGTATTTTGTTAAATGAAATTTTAAACACTCATAAAGTGGACCAACATTCATCATGTTGCAATGATAAAAAATGAAGTATATTAAATATATAAATATAAACTC